CACTCCTGGTTGCTTTCTTGCCACCTAAATAAATAAAATAGCATTTGCCTGCCAAGAAGTAGTTTTCACATTCCTAATTTTTTTAATTTTCACTTTATATATGTTTTTTTTTTTTTATTGGTGTAGTTGGCTCAAGTTATGAAATAAGAGGCTTAACCTGAGTATATATTTTATTTTAAAAAAAAACCAAAAAAAGTATTATTTTAATTAATTGAAAATAAAAAAACAAAGTTAACATACTGAGGATATGCCGATTAGATCAGAGAATAATTTAGCTAGATTTTATTTTGGTGATGACATGAACATTCTTTTTCACAATTTATTTTGATGGTGACATTAGCATTCTTTTTCATCATAATTGTCAAACCATATTCAAAATCGAACTTTTATAATAATAATAATAATAATAAAATTTTAAATGATATAACTTAATAGCTCAAGTTATAAATTTATTTTTTAAAATAATTAAAAATTTGCTGCTATTCCACCTTCAAGACAATCCTAACTATAAAGTATGATATTTAAAAATTTAGCTTTCATTTTACAGCGAATCACTTTATAATGGTTATGAAATGTTTTCATTTAAAAAAATAATATATTTTAAATGATAGGTATTTTCTTATTTAAAACTTCTATAATTAACAAAATAATTCTTTAAATATATCTTTATCATTGGGTATATAAAAAAAATCAAGAACTTAATTTTAGATGTGCTAACCAATATCATAACTTTAAATTTTACGAATCTTAAAATCATTAAAAATTTAAATAGAAAATATAAAAATAATCAAATTAGATATAAACTGTTCTTAGTTTGTGTGTATATATATATAATAATAATAATAATAATAATAGTGGTCAGGGGCGATTAGAAAATGGAAGTGACGTACGCGCGTGGACTAGAAGAAAGAAAGTACACTTGTATTAATTACTGTAATTTATCCCCCACTTTATTTCAGCTTGAGAATTTAAGAGCTACTCCAAAATGATGCTACGATCCCTCCATTGATCAACTTGATAGAGCATTGGGCAATGGTGGCCTGTACAGCCCCATGTGTTCCAAGGCCACCATGGAGGCTTAGCTTTTCCATACTTACGAAGGTTTAGGAACATGATTGAATCCTCATTTAACTTTATTTTCTTATTTTTTTTGCTAATTTTTTTTTATATATTTTCAGATTCTTTTATATCTTGATTTTTAAAATAATTTTCTAATTTCTAGAAGGGTAAAAGAAGAGAGTCAACAAAGCTTGCCTCCAAGCCAATTATGATCTCTTGTCATAGAGTTAGGTTGGTGTTAGGAAGTTATTAATTATTATTGCTTTAGAAGGAACTCTAATCATATTTAACCTAACCATACTCGCCACGTGCAACCAGTACACATCAATTCTACTATAGAATTAAAAAAAAAAATAATTAGATGGGCATCACTCTCATATTTCATTTGTCCCTTTCCCTTGAAAGCATACCTGGCACACTGCTAACATGCTCTCCAGATATTAGGAAGATGAAGTAATCAATGATCAATGCAGGATAGCTTCAAGAACAGGTTTGTTTTTGTGGTTTAATTTACCTTTTTTAATTATATTGTACTTGAAAATAATATTAATTTTTTTTTTAAATATTTTTCACGTAAAATAATAATTTACAAATGCACTTTGCGCTGTATTATTATCAAATATATAACTACAAATACTTAAAACAAACTTTGAGAGAATGTAACTTAACTAATCAGTTTTTAGATTTGTTTTTTATAAGTTATCGGTTTAAGTTTTACAAATTTCAAGACCATTAAAGATTTATATGGTTATTAATTTAGGATCTATAAAATTAATCAAGATATATACAAGTTAGCCCCAATACTTACATTAATTACAAAAAAAACTTAAAAGTAGCAAATCTCTAACATCTCATATTGTTGATTGATTTGTTCTAACATGCAAATGTGTCATAAAAATAGTCTATTGTATGAATTGGTTTCATGAGTGCTTGTATGTGCTAAGTTTTGAGTTTGAATTACACTTGAATTTTGTTTTATTTATTTTTTACGGAAATAAGATAAAAACATATGAAAATCAAGGCATGATTTTTTTTATATAAAAAGAAAAATAAGAAATCATGAGCAACAGAGAGAAGCACAAGCTTGGGTGGTTTGAACAGCTTTATTTTCAACATGGAATGTCAAGTTTCAGACCAAAGATTTTGCTGCTTTGCTTGAATGAAAATTCTTTGACCTTGTACAAAATCCGAATAAGACTCGGGCAACACTCGGATAGTTTCTATTTTCAAAACACGATTTTGACCTTATACAGCCCCCGTGTGTGGCTGTATATATATATATATATATATATATACATTTGCTATTTTAATGTTGGAAATTGATGTTGACTGGAAACTTGCAGACCACACAAGATGTTCCGAGGGCTGCATGACACGAGTAATTCTAAAAATGATTGTCCTTGGGACTCGAGAATTCAAAAAATGGCCGAGAATGAGTCATTAGCCATATATATTCCACATGGCTGCGTGCGAGGTGGTGCGTGATTTGCTTGTCTTGTAGATTGGAGCTTTGTGGTCAGCAATTTCTTTTTTTTGGGGGGTGTTTTGCAGAGTTTTTAGCCCCACGTCCATGAAATTGCTGAACATTTCTTGAACATTGGGTCAAAGCTTAAGAACCTCTTGATCACGTCAGTTTTTCCAGCTCCTGCATTCAAGTTACCAGATGGATGGAAAGCTTATCAGTCAGGACAAACCAGGAAAAAAATCAAGCTGCACATTCTTGGCATATTCTGTCAATAATACAATACAGTATACTTGACCATTTCCAAAATATACACCATGATACTATACCTCACCAAATTGTTAGCCTCAAAATTTCTTCCGTATCCCTCATGTTGACTTCCTATTCTTCTTCTTACTGTACAATGAACTGTTCACTATTCTTCAGATTTCTTCCGAGTCCGGGTAAATCTAATTCCTCGGAGTTCCATTAGCTTTCTGCTCTTCTAGAATGATATTTATATATAAACCCTCACCAAGTATGGCAACATAAATATAGAGATGAATGAAAGCTTAAGCTGGTGATGCTGAGAGTAGAAAATCTGGCTGTGATCTCTGGAGCAGTATCCCACAAAAGGGACACAAGGGTTTCGTGGGGATTTCTTTGACAGAAGATTCTGTCAAATACTTGAAATCTGAAGGATAACCAGGCATTGTAAAGGAGTCTCAGGTGGCAATTTGGAAGCCCGTCTGCAACAACACTAGCAAGACCATGGAGGGATAGCTGGGCAAACCTGCATGGAAACAGCACACCTTGCCATTTTGTGGTTCTGGACAGTTTTGTCAGTGGTGTTAGAGCATTAATTGGCAATATGCAGGTTCTGGAGAATCAAAAGGAACTGACTCTGTGCAATAGATTCATTGCTCTAGAACTCCATTTTCACTCGACTGAAGCCTGTATTGAGCAAAAAACTACATGATAAGAGAATAACACGACTCTAATATTATAAACAAAAGCACACAGTTTGCAGACAGAAACTTGAATCATTATAACAAAGCTCGGGGTTTCAGCTAGGCCATCCACTGCATGCAAGCAAGCAGCTTCTTAGGAAATTCATATCTTCCAAACAGAAAATAAGTGTACATTAGGCAAGATATGCTTTATTAGAAAATAATATAAATTATATTTTGAAATTTTATTTAATAGCTTAAGTTATTGGATCAAGATGAGTTTTTGATATGGTATCAGAGTCTTGATAATTAACCGGTCACGAGTTCAAATCTTACTATTTTTATTTATTTGATAAAAAATAAGTATAAAGTAATGTGGGTCTATTCACGTTTCAAGTTTAAAGAGTTTTCACTTAAGGGAGTGTATTAAAGAATAATATAAATCATATCTTGAGACCTTACCTAATAATTTAAATTATTAGATTGAGATGATTCTTTGACGTGTTAAACAACCTATAATGTAATAACTAATTCCTAACTTGTAAGAATGTTCAGAAATCTCCCTATATAAATGCATGATATCAGCAATAATAATGTATTCTAGCAATTCAATCTCTCTTTCATCTTTTTATAGTATCAAAACAGGACTAAGATCTTTTCTCATTGCCGCACTCTAATCACGTTGATGTACCATTGGCAAGAAAATTGCTGATCCTGGCACACCAAAACCAGAGATTTTCACAAACTTTTTAAAGGCAAATCTTTCAAATTTTTATTATACTCATCATTAAAATCATCTGGGTTTGATTTTTATTTTAAAATTCTTGAATGGAGAAAATTATTTTACTTGTAAAAAGTATACTCTGGCTTTAAATTTCATAAACAAACTAGGTTTTGTTAATGGCTAAATCAAATCCCCTTCAGAATAAGCTGAACATGAAGGTTATGTAGCTCAATAACCAGGCTCAATAAAAAAAAAATTCATTGGTAATGTTGTTTTAACATGATAGTGAGGGAAAAAAACATCCCCTGCTGTTTAGGCGAGGTCCAAACGACAGGGTGATTTCCTAACCTCTTGAAAAAGGAATGTTCTTTCAGAGCGTACAAAGTTTTCACAAATTATCTCACTTTATTAGCTGACATATCAAAGGAAAAGGAATATTTTTTCTAGATACCCACCCCTACGCCAACAACTCTTGTTCTCGGTAGATCTACGCAGCTAGTTGTTATTTTCAATGGCTAGAAAGATAATTCCCAATGCCAACCTCACTTCTCATCAAATTCCTTTAAAAAATCACATGGTCTCAGTTATTAGGGTATATAAACACCTCAGAACCTTTAAAAAATCACATGGTCTCAGTTATTAGGGTATATAAATACCTCAAAACCTCCCACACAACATGCATTAAAAAATACAGAGACACCACTTCTTACTCTAAATTTTCCCTCCTCTGCTCATTACTCTCCCATTATGCTAGTTTAAGGGTCCCTTGATCTTACAGGCAGGTGCGACAGAGAAATCAAACCAAATCTTTTTCAACCATGAAAGTCCAACATTCAAGTCCAAACATCTCAGTCCATTTGCAGCCGTGGAAAGCCCAAGATCCATTTTGATGTTTCAGTGACTCATCGGTACAAAATGCTATTTTCCTGACATGATTTTATTGGTTATCAGTTTAATGAGATTCCATGTAGTGAGCAAGCAGTTTATATGGAAATTGGTTTGATAAAAAGTATTGTTTCCATGATGAGGTGGTGGGTCTTAACCAGTTCCTCTTTCCCATGGATTTTCACTGCCTTGTGTCGTTAGAAATTCTATTTTTCTCATTACATTCTGCTTGATGAACATACTTTGCGTGCAGCCATGTCTGGCTTTCCAAATTTCTAGCGAATTCTCTCTCTGGACGTTAACACGAGCTAGCTAAATGGAATCCGAAACTGCTGCACAGCTGACTTAGCTGAGTTTACAGATGTTGGATTTGCTGGCCTATCAAGGTCATTAAACTCCGCTCATTAAACAAAACGTTCTGCAATCTTGCTTCTCGTTGATATTGAACTTCCCCACTCCATGCTTGTGCCCCATCTGACCAAGTTTGGGCTCCGACTTGCATTTACCTTTATGAGCAGAGGAACACTTTCTTGCTGAAAGTGATGTTCACGATGAGTTTTAAGGACTCATTATCTATGCTGTGCATAAATCTGCTATAACCTTGTTTACCATGCTGCCTACGAAAAAAAAAAAAGGATCAGCTAGCTACATTGATCCCCTTTATTAATATGATTGCCTATAATGAGATTTTTTTTTGCTGCATATCATAACGTCGTCATAGATTTTTTTGTTGTTACAGTGAATATTATATGTTTGTAACGAAAATGTGATGGAATGATTAACCCTAATTTAGATAGTGAATATAAATAGACATTGTATTTTATATTTGGTTTCTAACTTCCCTTTCTTGACCTTCGGGCTCGAACCTTTCTTTTTAACCAACGGATATATTTGATTTATAAAGGACAAAAACAGGAGCCAAGCACAGCTACAAACCAAAATAAGAGGAAGGGAACAAGCCTACTACAAGATACAGGCAACTGTAGTTCTGGATTACTGCAACTAGAATGATAGATAAGAGTTTTCAATTGCACATGTACAGATCAATATGTTGCTTTCTACATCTGATATTCTTGTCCACTGACATCTTCCATCCATGCTCTATTTAGTGAGTCTGCAGATGTTGGACTTCTGGCCTATCCAGATCATTTTATTCCGCTCTTCACGCAAAAGGTTCTGCAATCTCACTTCTCGATTTATGTTGGACTTCTTAAATTGTGCCCATCTGAGCCAGTCAGTCTCCCAAGCTGTATTAATTTGTGAGCAGTAGAAAACATGATGATGACGTTAAAAAGATTATGATCACAGAGTTGAAGATCAGCAAATCAGGACTTACTGCTATGGCAGTGCCGAGCAGAGGTTAAACTATGGCCACACATTTGGATAAACAGCTCCAGAATTTGTGATGACAGTTATGACTCCGTGGACTGAAGATTCACATCCAGAATACAAGGCTTTACCATCAGGGTGGGTATTGAATGCATGGTAAGCTGGGGAGATGGCAGAGTATATGTCACAGGAGTATCTAGTATAATCTGCTATAACCTTGTCAGAAAGGAGGCCAACTTTGCTACATAATTTGAGGTCATGATGCCTTTCTGCAAAATGAACTGGATCAACCAACTTCTTTGAGTCCCTTGATGTATGTTAGTCTGTACGGATCAGAAGTCAATACTGCAGGTATATAGATAGTAGCTTTCAAATGAGAGACCTGTTAAGGCATACCAATAGAGCATAGAGGAAAAGCAGGCAAGGTCAATAGAACTAATATAGCAGTTAGCGATATAGTTCAAGATTTCAGAATACAGAAATTCAAGGCATTCTATTTGATCACGTTTTGCGTTCAACGAGAGCCCTAACAAAAAAACATCAACATGAATACAATTTCATGAAGGTTAGAACTGCTACAATGATTGCTACAATGGCTCACCAGAAAAAAAATATACAAAATTGAAATCCATTTGAACAATATTTATAGGTTTGAACAAATCTTATTGTAGAGGAAACTTCCTACACTTTGCTCCTTTCTTTTCCAACCAAAGCGCATCCTCTGCTTCCTGAGATCAGCAAGAACTCTTTACTTCAAAATTGGTTGGAGATAACTTAAGGAAAGCCTTTTTCCTTCCCAATAAAAATGGTAGTGCGACTGAGTGTGCTGACATGATAAAAAAAAAAGTGCCATACCTGAAGGCACTTGCATGCTCATCCAACCTTCATCATTCGTTCCGATTGTCCTTTGGGAACAGGTTTTTTCTTTTGCTTCTGATTTAGAAATCTATCATCTGAGACACTCAAGAGCTTATTGATGGACATCCCTTCCCCTATAGTCAACTTCTTTACTTCATACCTATGTTTAATCCTCTCATCAAGGTTGTAACCAAGAAATGCAGGAAAAGACAAAAGCTCTCTGACTTCACGACCCATTTCTTCAATCAAGAATTCCAACTTCTCCTCCAAAGCACCACATTTGTACTGTAGAATCTGAGGGTGCTTCTTGCTCATGGCAAGAATATCTGCATAAGTAAGACCATAGCTCAAGAATAGCCCAATCACATTTTGCAAATTCTCACAGCTTGTCCTTGATGCAGCTCCCATTGCCGCAGCCAATTCCTTGGTTCCATTTTCATACCCTATCTTCACCAAAACAACAAGTTTATGCACGAGGTTATCTTCAAAGGACAGGCCAAGAAATACAGGGGCTTTAGTCAAGAACTTGAATATCTCGTTAGAACTCAACCCACATTGCTTGAGAAACTCTATTCTCGGACGCAACTTCCTCTCCTTGCTGGCACTAACCACATTTGGAAACACAGAAAAAATCTTGAATATTTGTGGATCAGTTAGGCCAGCAAAAGATCTCAACAACTCAACATGGCCCCCCGTATGCTTCACACTGTAACTTAAAATGGCAGGGAGTTTATGCAACACAATCCCCGTGGCATCCTCATCTCCACCACTAATCTCCTTAAGCAACTCTACTCTAGGAATCAACTGAGTATCCAAATCAAAATTCAGTATCATTGGCCGCCTAACGATTATGTCAACCCCACCAAAACGACTCAAGTAAGTAACAGTCTTCTCAATTTCTTCAATAGACTTAAGGCTCAAAGCCTTGGTCAAATTCACATTGTTGAGAACATGAACAATCTTTTCTTGAGGAATTCCACGTTTAATCAACAGCTTAACCTTTTCATCAAAACCAGCCAAGAACCTTGGCACAGTGGCAATCAAAAGGCGCCTAAGTTGTGCTGGCTCGACCTTTCCTTCTAAATCATTAAGCACAAAATGTATCAATGGATCAATTTCCTTCGCTGTTAAAACATCCGGAGACTTATCAATCAAGTGATATAGTTCAACGCCTTTGATTCCAACAGACTCTAAGAGTAAAACATGGGCTCGTATGGAGTCAAAAGATGCAGACTTTAGAGCTGGGTTCTGCTCTAACAGCAACCCAGTTTCTTTCTCATTGAAACCCATTTCTGAAAAGAACGAATAAATCAAACCTGAAACAAAAAGAAACAATAAGCTACATGGAAATGTGTAACTAAGCATTATGCATAACATGTTTGACAAAAGGTCTCTGAGAGTGAAAACTGCTCACTAAATTCACTCTGCAAAATCGAAGGCAATTCCAGACAGCTGCTCTGGACTAGAAGGTGTTTAGTCAGTGGAAAACCCACAGGGGCTAAGAATCTTGAACCTTTAGCAAAGTTTGCTAGAGTCAACATTCCATGGGGAGAGAAAGTTGTGAATGGAGTAGCTAAAGATTTAAGCTTTATTGGTGATGGGTTTGTTACTTGCAAGAGAAAGGAAGAGTTTGAAGAAGAAAATAAAGGGTTTGCTGTTGCAAGCATGGTTGTTTTTGTTCAGGTATTCTCCCTCTCTAGATGAGCTTGCACCTATAGAAGTTGAAGGCTCTGTCGCTTTGACAGTGGACTCACTGTATCGCTGGTGTTCCAGCTTTCAAATAAAGGATATTGCGAGTGGTCTTTCCTCTTTGCGCTTATCTACTAGTACTAGCATGACTTGTAACCAGCAACATGATGTGTTGGCCTAAATGCTAGATTTTTTTTAAATGCGAACGCCGGTTTATCTACGCGAGCAAAACTGTGTTTCAAGCTAAAAAGTTGCGCTTTTTGACTCAAACATAGTTTGAAACACAGCAAACCCGCGAAGACAAACAATATTTTAACAAGT